CAAACCCCACACCTCTCGCCGAACTAACCGTAATCTGCTCGCGCAAGAATTCCAGATCCTCCTCGCAGTTCTGCAAGCTCGACTCCGCAGCATTGAGCTTCTCATCCAGCATAGTCTCCGCCTCGCCGAGCGGATACGCCAACATGACATTCGCCCCAAGCCAGAGGTACACCTCCTCGGCATCGGCAGGTGAGATCGCAGCACGGGCGTAGAGGGTATCATTGAGTTCGAAGTTAGTCTCGAGGTCTGAGTCAGGGTTGGACTAGAACAAGTAGAGCGTCAGTGATATTCCTTTCGATTTCCAAGTTGTCCTTTTTGTCCATGGATACGTTCCGCAAATCGCTTTTTCTCTTGGATATTATGAACAGAGCCACAGGGGGAATGTTTACCTCCTTGCGCAGCTGCAAGAACCGCACCATCTCCAGCGTCTTCTTGATGTCGGGGATCTTCTCGCGCAGGCCCTGGCCGCGGCGCTGCGTGTTCACTTCCATGAACTGATACTTGGAAATCATCTCCTGGAAGGAGCGGAGGGTGGGCTCGACTTCCTCGCGGGAGGAGACATAGTCGCTGACATTGTCGATGAATGGGGCGACGGGGATCCCGCGCGGGTTGGTTTGTGTTGTTACCGTGCTGTGGAGGGGTTAGTTTTCTGCGGATGCGGGCATGGGATTGAGGTTGGGGATGCTGGAAGCTAGAAGGGGATTTGTGTAAAGATATAAAATAGGAATTGGGAATTTACCTCTTCTTTGAGTCCGCCATGATCGCGAGAATGTGTTAGAGAGAGAGGGAAGAGGAAGATGACGATGTGGGGAGGAGCTTAACTGCCACTTTTTTGTCTCCGCTTTATCTCTCCCGATGAAATGGATTCTACTTTGCCCTAATTTGTTTTTGATTCTGAATTGGTTCTGAATTGATATTCAAATGGTCCTCCTTTACACGACAGAGCGCATCCTCGCCGCGTTCGAAGCTATTCCAGCTTCGCGCCTCGAGGAGCTAGACCTGCCTACCACACTCGAAGCACAAGGTCCAATAGCCCACGAGCAACTGATCAGACTCGCCAGATACCTCCAAACCGACCCAGAATATGAAGATCATGCCTCTCACACCCCGACAGTCCTCAGCTCCCTACTCCGCGGCACGAAAGTCTACGTTCCTCCGCCGCCAAAGAAGCCAGAGCCCGTACGTGGTCTATACACAACCCCATCCGACCCCATCCCTTTCTTTCCACATAAAACCCCATACCAAACCAGATCAGATCTAACAGGGAGAAATAATCCAGAGCGCCGAATATCTCGCCTCAAAAGCCCGCCTCCTCGCCGCAACAGAACAAGAATCCTACAACCGCCTCCTAAACCCAAACTACAGACCAAACGCCGACCACGCGGATCCGCACACATCGCCGTACACAAGCGACGGCCACGTAGAAGAAGACACCCTGACGATCTCGCTTGTTTCTAGCGTCTTCATCTCAGTGATTGTGACCGGGTTCGCCGTGTACGCTGCGCTCACTCGGTTCCCGACGCCGGCGATCCTGGCGAGCGAGGCGGCTAAGGTTCTTCTTGGGCTGTTTGCGGCGCTGAGTGTTGCTGTTGCGGAGGCGTTTTTGTATTGGACGTATATTGAGAAAGTGGATCGGGCGAGGGTTAAGGAGAGGGCGCTTAGGGAGAGGAAGGTTGTTATTGGGGCTGTTGGGGAGGTGGATGAAGCTGATGAGGGTGTTGAGATTGGGACGGAGAAGGAGGAGATTTGGGGGAAGGGGGTTAATGGGGGTGTTAGGAGGAGGGTTAGGGAGAAGTGGGAGAAGGGGAGGGATGGGGAGGATGTGAGTCTTTGATATGTATTTGTATGGTATTCTCGAGGTTAAGGATAATGACAATATTAATGTACTTTTATGTGCTAACATGTTCAAAAGACTTGGATAGATTCAATTGCTTTTGGTATTCTATCCCTAAAGCTACAATGCGCTGTCATTAATGTAACGGGTATGGATGCTGTGCGATCATTAGTGCTCATCAGAGGGTTCGATCTCACAGGTCGAGATCGAGATGTAAAGTGGCAGAAATATAGAAAAGACAGCAAGGCGCACTGCCGAGATGTCAACTTGTCCCAAGCGTGGACAAAAGAAAGAAGAAGAGAGGGAATATCTCAAACCCGTTTCTCAAGAAGCAGCTTTCCGTGCGGCGATTGGCTATCGAAGCCCTGTTCACGGCTGAAGATACGCTCACCACGCAACCAGGTCTCGCGGACCATACCGCGCAGAGTACGACCCTGGTAGGGGGAGCACTTGTTGCGGAAAAGCATAGTGCTCGGCTCGACAGTCCACTCGGCAGAGTCATCGAAAACACAAATGTCACCATCGAAGCCGACAACCAGGTCACCCTTTTGCGACTGCAAGCCAACCTGGGCAGCAGTATTGGCACAGCAGAGACGAACGACGTCCTGGAGGGCGTTCTTGGTGTTCTCATCTTCTGGCGAAGAGGTCAGGCCCTTGCGGCGGCTGAGGTCTGTCCAAAGGATAGGCAGACCTAGTCCGACGGAAGAAATGCCGCCCCAGGCAGAGAAGAAGTCACCAGTCTTCTCGTCCTTGCTGCCGGCGCAGTGGCCAGGGACATCGGCTGGGAGCATCTTCAGGTCTGGTGTGCAGGGGGAGTGATCGGAGACGACAGTCTTGATGACGCCATCAGCGGTATGCTTCTCCAACTCTTCCCACAGACTATCTTGGTTGAGCTTTGAGCGGATGGGCGGGCAGCACTTGTGGCGGGTGTCGCCGTCGCGTACTTCCTCGGCTGCCAGGGACAGATAGTGGAAGCAGGTCTCGGCTGTGATATTGACACCATTGGCGCGGGCTTCTCGCAACAAGGGAATAGCTTCCATTGCAGAAAGGTGAACGATGTGCAAGGGGAGGTTGGGAGCAAGATGAGCCAAAGACAGAATACTTTCGATGGCGCAGGTCTCGAATGAGGAGGGTCTCGAGGCTAGGAAAGTCGCATATGCCTCGAGGGGACCGACAGGAGCGGCAGGTGCATCAGATGTCTGAACCTCGTCACCCACAGATGCGGTAATGGGAGGCACCATCTCGGCGTGGAACATGAGAGTTGTAGGCTCATCGGCCAGCTCGGCCATGACCTTCTTAATATCCTCTGTGCCAACAGCAGGGAACTCATCAACCTATTAAAGAAAGTTAATACTAATTAGATTCACAATGCTGATGTCATTCACTTACACCACTGTCAATCAAGAAACCCTTGAAGCCGCGGACACCCTCCTGGACAAGGGCCTTGAGCTCTCCCGCATTGCCGGGGATGATACCGCCATAGAAACCGACATCAACCCAGCACTGGCCCTGGGCAGCCTTGATCTTCTCTTTCAATCCGTTTACAGTGGTAGTGGGCGGGATGGCATTGAGAGGCATGTCAATGACGGTGGTCACACCACCAAAGGCAGCGGCTTGAGTGCCTGTGTAGAAGCCCTCCCATTCCGTGCGGCCGGGCTCGTTCAAATGAACGTGCGCATCGACTAAGCCGGGCAGCAGGACATGAGGCGAGTAGTCGGTATAGGGAGTATCCACAGGGAAGGCGGATGCTTGAATCACGGAATCGAAGACGGCGATGATCTTACCGGTTACCCGTGAGATCACCACAGTGGCAGAAGTCAAACGGCCGGAGATAATGGCGCGCGATGAAGCCACAACGGTAATAGAGATGTCAGCCATGCTTGAATCTTCCAGACTTGAGAAGAGGAATATAAGAATGTTCAGATAAGAAAGATAAGAAGGGGGCAAAAATCTCCAAGATAAGGGGATTGGGGAAGATATAAATACGCCTGAAAAGAAAAGTCTGGGCCTTGGGGTAAAATTGGGATTTCACTCATAATATCCCAGGGAATATCCAGAGTATATCCACAGGCCCACTGCCGATATTATTCCAGAGCCCGACGGTGTTGCGATTACTCAACTGGCCAACCGTCCCAGATAGTCACGGCCATATTGGGGATTGGAGGGAGACAATGCCCTTTCTCCAGGATATCTCTAACAAGTTAACACGAGTATAGCATGTCGATTTTGCATTCAATAAGGCCATCGGGCATCTCCGAAATGCGGGCAATTCCAAACGCTTATCAACGGCCCGCTTTATCGGATTACTCGATCGAAACTGTCTCGTCTTGTTCTTCTTACTCGATCGAAACTACTTTCAGAGGAACTACTCGCGGAAAGGAGAATGCTGTCTCGTGACCATGGCCCTGTTTTGCCGAGAGGATTTCATTTCACCATTGCATATCCCGGTGGGAAGGAGAATACTGAAGAGAATGAGGTTGAAAGGAATGGGAATATTGAAGAGCACAAAGATAATGCAGAAGAGAATAGGTAAGCGAACAGCTCTGGTCTGTCTGTCTCCCCAAACCTTCAGGGAATCGTTCTTCCAAGACGGATGCCTGCTTGTATTTCACCCATCACTGGTCCGTGGTCAGACAGTGTAATCCACCCAGATGCTTAATGTGATGTTCCGATGTAGATACTTAATAATACATTATGTTAACGCTCTTTCTAATATAAGCCGGTCAGGGCTGAGATCTTGGTGCTTTGATTAATCTACCTACATGTATCTACGTCGCATACAGCTTTCCTTCTGTAGTGCTCGCCCTGATCGACTTTCGATGTCTTACATAATCATTAAAACTGCTCGTGATCACCTGGTTATTATGTAAGCCAAATGACTTGCCTGCTGAACGTCATCTGAGCATTAAAGCCCTGGAGTTAGTCAGAAGTCTACTCAGAGGACCTTCTTTCTATATTTTGGATTCAAGGCTGGCGGATCAGGAAAAACTCCAGTAGAAATGGCATGTCCTCAATGGAAGGACGACGATCAATCATAAGTAGTCTCGGGACTCTGGCTAGCAATGAAGTATATAAAGAACGGGCAACAAGCTACAAGCTACTGTATTTAAAACGTGGTTGAAGCAACAGGGGAACCGCTCTGTCCTGGCTGGACGACCATCCAGGACTACGGGGACATATGACCCTTGGCCATATACACCAGGGTCGCAGCATCTAGCGCGGTGTTGATCCGCTGCAGGATATCCTCGACCTCCTCCAGACCCACGGAGAACCGGATGATGGTATCATTCGTGCCATTGGCAGACACCTGTTTCTTACTGGTCTGCCCCGTCATCTGCATATAGGGCGACGCAATGCAGACATCCGCACCAAACGAGAGCCCCTTATAGACGTGTAAGTGGTCAAAGAAGACAGAAGAGCTTGCGACGTCGGCGAAATCCATTGTGAAGACGCCCCCATACCCTGAGCGAGGCCTTTCAGACCAGCGAGGACGCATCTGACGCTCGTAGTATGGACGGGATGAGCACACGGATGGGTAGAAAATATGCGTTAGCGGGCTCGCGGGATCCGAGACGAGAGGCAAAAGCTGGGTGACAAGGTATTGCGTGGTATCATTGATTCGAGCCATGCGAGCTAAGAAATCCCGGCTATTGAATTCTAGCTGGATCGCATCTTCGACGAAGAGGCTGTTCTCGTACGTGGCGGACATCTGTTTCTGCAGAGCGGCGTAGTGAGTCGAATTGGGATTCAGAATCGCACTGTACGCGTGAAGATGAGAGCATCAGTCCCCGTGTCCGTCGGTTCGTGTCAAGACCCTTGACTTACCTTCTTGCCATTAAATGGGCATACCCGCTGAAGTATTTAGACAGGGAGGTGACGACAATATCCGCCACTTCCAACAGATCGACGTTGGCGAAGCTGGCGACGCTATCGTCCACTACGACAAGAATTTCATGTTGATCCGCCAGCCGGCGTAAGCGCTGTAAATCGACTGTCTGCAGTATTGGGTTGCTAGGACATTCACTTCAGTCGTCTGCAGAGGATCTATCCCCGCGCGAGCATCCTCTGATCCAAGCTCCAGCTGGGCAGTAAGATGATTCAAGTCAGCCTCCGTTCCTAGGTTATAGGACCTTAACCCTGGCCCTTTCGTTTGCAGGATCCTGAGGGTCGGCTCATACAGGAGGCCAGCATTCACGGACTCCCCGTTTCGCCAGTCCAAAATGGACTGATGCACGTGGAAGATGGCCGCCATTCCGGAGGCATATAAGAAGACATCGGAGGCAGCGACCTGCTTAGTGATCCGCGGCTCAGCCGCCCGGTGCTGCACATAACCTGCAATCCTAGAACAGAGTTCCTCGTACACAGGATTAGAGTCGGGAAGGATGCCCCGTATGGTGGTGGTATGAACAGTCAATGCGTGGATCCGAGGTCCAGAGTCGTCCTTCAGACATTGCTGTGCCAACCGCGATGATATCCCTGGCCCCGCGCGTTGCCAAAACGCATGAGCATTCTGAGACGCCGCACTGGGGTAGAGGATGGCATAAAGGAATGACCCAGACGAGCGAGTGTGGTGACCACAACACACTGAGCTACTGAAGTCCACCCAGTACACCCGAATCGAATCAGCGACGGTTGGCTGATCCTTAGCCTGCGAGAGCAGGAGAATATAGTCCTTGCAGGAGAGCGCTGCCTGGGCACCGGAGAACAGTAGAAGTGAAGAATGGGTGCAATCTATATCGTCGTGAACCTTGGCCAGAATCTTGGAACTGAGCTTGAACCAAATATCGTCATCATCAGCCCGGGGGAGCCCAGCTAAACGGGATCAGAGAAAGCTAAGGGCCTTACCAGACAGATATCAGGGTGCACAACGGACCTTGGATAACCATTGTTCATCTGCGCCTTTCCCTGCCCAAAAGCCACCATGTCAGCCCATGTTGGGATTTGAACCAACAGACTGTTTGAACGACCAAGATATGGCTCTCCCAGCTGGTGCTCCTGTGGTACTGTCATCTAGGCGAGGGCAATATGATCTGCTCAGTCCAGTTGACAGCGAGCAAAATGTGGACTGTCGGTTGTTGGGAACGCCAACTAGCTCCATGAGAGATCTTCATAAGACGAGGTGACAGATATGTATCGTAACCAAGCTAATTGTCCGTCGCATACCAGGGTACCTCGCCCTTACTGCTAGATATCTGATCCCGACATAATGCAGTACAGTGAAACCACATGTGCACTTTAGAACGAGGATAACGAATACCTGAGTTTTACAGATACCGGTCAATTAATCCATGCGACCTTCCTTATGGAGTAGTATTTGTTGAGATACATTGACGATCCCGTTATTATGCACGATACATTACAGCACCTCCAATATCACATTGTCAGATATGACGGTGGCTACCTGAATCACTGCTGATCCCATTTCCCCCTTTACTTGTTGGATGTCATACACAATTCCTTCCTCAATGTCCAGTTGCACTTTATCAGTCTTTCCTGGTATACTTCTATTTTTCAGGTTTCTCTCGAAGTGAATGTTAGTTATAGCTAAGGCTTACTGTAGCAGTCTTACAGGAATGGATCTACAGTGGAATGTCCCGAGCATAGACCGGATTCCGGGAGACTGTTACACTGCACAGGATACTCGTAGAAGGAGTTACTCTGTCGTACTGGGGTTTGAAGAATCCATTGGCATGAGTATGGTGGTGACATTCAAGATAGACATTACTATCTCATCCAAGTCTACTACTATACGACCCCCAAACATGCAACGCAACAGTACATTTCCAATCTGAAAGCCCCCAGATAGGGTAGCTCAGAACACACATAGAAGATGCAGGGGATACTCCTATACTTCTGCCACAGGCGGCGCATGGGCCTTTTCTTCTATCGTAGGCGGCACAGGGGTATCGCTGTCGGGCGCCTCCTCCTCTCCCGCGTCCTTCCTATCCGGGACTTGCTTCCCCTGTATAGAGGCCGATCCAAGAAGCGACAGAGCGCACATGGCGACGCCGACGTAAAATGTCTGCATGACCGTCTTGCGGTACACCCTGAGGACTGACTCCAAAAGTTCCGACGGGACGCGATCCCACAGTAGTGTCGCCCCTTCTCCAACGAGGGAGTCCACGGACGGGGCGCTGCTACGCAAATTTTCCAACAGCCGATTGTGGAAAACAGTCTGCCCAATGATCAGAGCTATCGAGCTGGACAGCATTTGCAGAAAGCAGAGCGTTGCAATGGCCATGATTACATTGCCCGGAGCGCAAACCACGGACGGGTCGACCAGTGCATTCTGGGCTCCAAGCTAGATGCCGAAACTCAGTACCACCTGAGACCCCAGGATGTCTGCGAGGCTGGAGGACGGATGCAGCGAGCTCAGTAAGCTGGCTCCGGCTACGGACATCAGTGAGGACATGATCAGAAGTGCGTATAGTATCCGATGACGGTGACCTTTGGGATGCAATCACCATGCCCAACTGGGTGGGTAAGATTGATAGGCCAGACTTGGAGGCAGAAAACCCCTTGATGGCTTGCCCTGTTGATTCTTTCTATGAAAAGGCAGGGTACTTATACCCTGGTGTCTAGCAAACAATCAGTCTGCAAGCAAACAATGAGAGATGAGATCATCCAACATATGATACCTACATTTCCTAGTACTAGATTCCACAATATATTGCCTTGTTCCCCGAAAGGTATTGTTAGCTATAAACTATAGAATACCTATTGAAAGCATAACTTCTATATCGATTTTCTATATATAACCAGTGATAGAGAATGATTAATGCGATAGGGTAAACGTACGAATAGGTTGCTAGGGGCCCAAAGAGATATTCCTACGTAATAATAGTCACCAGCTCTATATAACTTGGGCATGCACTGGTTCTGCACTTTAGTGGTGATCACTCCGTTTTTTGAGATTATTAGAAAATAATCGGTAACCCAGTGTGGTATTCCCATACTATTCTACCCAAAACTGGTGACACTAGTTACGGGACACCGTATATGTACTTTTTATTCCCATTATCAAACTACATGTAGGGACTGAGCCCATGCTGACACTTACATATCCTGTGCCTGAGCGCTTTCATATAGCAGCATCCCAGATAGGAAAGGCAGACATTATTCGGTCTACCATGTACATATGCATAGGTGCATACAGTGAAATTGACCGGGAAAATTAGCATAAAAAGTTTCATTCATTCGCTATCTCGGTAGATGGTGATAGTGCCCTCCTTTTTTTGTGCTTTTCTGTGTTTTCTGGTGAAATGATCTCAAGTAGGGAGGGAAGAACAACAATCTGCGCGCGAGAAAAGAGAATAAAAGTAAAATCAAAATCAAAATCAAAATCAACCGGTAGAAACACCGGGAAATACAAACCGAGACAACCCATCCCTAGATAAACCCAACGCGCATTGTGGCTTCATAAGGAAGCAGGGCACACTTGAAGTATTTGATCCTCTCCAATCTCTTCTCGGATATCCTGCAGATCACTGAGATCAAACGGGCCAGTCTGGCCTCTGATGACATCGGCATAGGCACCTTCCGGAATCGGAGCGTCAGGAGCCGTGACAGGAAGAGCATCAGGAACCTCGGCAGGGACAATGTCGGGAAGAGCGTCACGAAGCGAGGAAGGAACCGCCGAAGGAGACGGGTCAGCAGGACCAGGGACAAGATCAGAAAGATCATCATATTCGTCGTTCTTCTCAACTTTGTCACCTTCCGAACTCTCACTTTCGTCGTAAGTGTCATCATTGTCGCCGTGTTTCGACTTGTCATTTGAAAAGCTAGCCATCTCATCGGTGTACTTGTCCTTAAAAAAGGTCACCATCTTATCGGTAAATATGACACCAGTCAGGAGCTTTTTGAAGTGGTTCAGGGTCGCTAGGTCGTGCCCTTCAAGCTTGCCGCCAGTGAGCTCAATGTCGTCGCTCAGTGAAGCGGGAACAACTTCGTTGTCGGGATCAATCTTGCCAGGCACCACATCAAATTTCTCCATCGCCGCTGGGCATTCATGCATGATATTCATCCACGTCAAGATGTGTGCCATACCACGAGTGACCATGCAAGACGACTTGGTGCTTTCACCGGACGAGTACGTGTTGCAACCACCATGAAGGAGTTCAAGACCAGGCACACGTGTGCCAACCGGCTTATCAGAAACAGCCCAGCCACGGCAGCGGTACTTCATGAACCAGGAGAAAGACTTTGGATCCTTCAGATCACCAATCTTGGTCTCGGTCTTAGCAATAGTCTCGGGGTTGATGAGGGACAGGGAGGAGATGTTGGGCGACCAGAAACTCCCTAGCGGCCATGTCAGTAAGCAATTCCCATTTATATTATTCAGTCAGAAACTTACATTGGCTCTTCAGGTATGTAATAGCAGCATGGCCGCCTTCAGACAGGCCAATGACGTCGATTTTGGCATCGACTTGGAAGTTGTTGCGAATCAAGAGTCCCTCGAAGATGTTCCGGACGTGCTCAACGATGCCGCCTTTGTCGAGCATGTTACGAGGACTCAGTGGACGTTCGCGGTCCATACCAGAGGCGCTGTGGTGACCATGATAACTGTCTTCGGTCATCGCGTACCAACCTGAATTGTACCAGATCTTTTGGCCGGCGTTCGCAAGGATGAGGGCATTGGGTGAATCTTGGGCATTCTCACCAAGCAGAGCCTTTGCAAAGCCAAGGATCGAACCGAAAGAAACGCCCTCGTCGCAAACGTCACGGTACGAGAAGATACCCAGGTCTTCGATTATCTCGCCACAGAAGACAACGACTCGAGGCGCAGTGTCAACGTTGCCCGACACGAGGATGGGTACCTGGCGCTTGCTGCCCTTGGGCACCTTCATAAAGTGCATGCCCATTCCCAGGAGCCGGTCAATGATGATGGTACGGATCGCCTCTGTGAAGTTGTTAGCGCGAGATGATTCATCAAAACCATTGTCTATGGAAATCGATCTGAGGGCTAACTAACTATGCAAGGCCTCAATGTGAGCCTTATTGATACGCGCACTCCGGTTAATCTTGAATCGCGGGCCCTGGTCCGGGGCACCGACGTAGCGAATCCTGTCATCGTCGGTGATGACAAACCTGTGTCATTCAATCGACTGTTAGCCTCCAAGGCTGGGAATGTCACGTTGGATATGAAAAGCTTACCCAAGCTCCAGCAGCTCTTCAGCGAAGACCACGTCATCAGGGAGAAGATCTCCCAGAATAGTGTTCATTGTTGCGATACTTCAAGTCAATGTGTGAGATTGATTTGAAAAGAAAGTCAAAGCAACAAGAGGGGAAGATGAGTGATGGTTGAAGGTAAGGGAGAGAGGGAAAGAAAAAGAGAAGAAGGAGAGAAGGAGAGAGGGGACTATCAAGCACGCAGAAACTGGAAGGCGCCGCGCTTTTTCAACGCGATGTCGACGGGGCAACAGTCAACGACGACGTGGTTATGGCAGGCATCGACGAGCTTCCCATTGGCTCAGTGACCGCGGGTGATGCGATTGCCAACGGACTACGCCAATGTACCTTGCCCTGATATTGAGGATCTATGAGTTGAAACTTCGATCTACGCCGCTAAGATGATATGACCGGGAAAAGTATCACTCAAACCAACAAGGCTGATCTGCGATTGGCCGGCATAGTGGAAGCAAACAACCCAATTGACATGATCTCAACAAAGAAAGCTTGATCTCACAACACCAGCAAACGAGGATCAGGGCCAAAGCAATGCTTGAGCTTGTCAACAAGTCAATGCCGACAAGCCGAGAGTAGCGGAGGAGTCAGAACGACAAAGAAAAGTTTGATTTCTTTGTAAGAATTGCATATACTGTACATACTTCCACCCAATGGAAGTAAAGAAGAAAACGCCATCGTGCAAACAATTCAACCAGAGCTCTCCATATACCACAGAGTGCCGGCAACAATATCATACAATTACCAGCTGGCCTTTCTCACACCGGGAAGTTCACCAGCGAGGGCCTGCATACGGAATTGGTACTGGAGAAGACAGTGTGTTAGCGAAATGATATCAAAAGCCCCGGACAAGATGCGGCCATTGATCGGAGGTTTCCACTCACTCTGTTGATTCTGAAATCGCGGAACACACTGCGGGCAGTGCCTGATGCGACACAACGGTTCTTGATCTGAGTGGGGCGAGTGTAGGCGTGCATCTGCGACAATTGGAGCTGAGCCTGCGCGCGAACTCGGCCAGACAGAGAGGTGTTGCGGATCATGTAGCGGAGAGCTTGGCTGCAAATGAAGACAGAGTCAGCATTTGTGTTTCAATTCCCAGCAAGGATTTCCCAGCCCGGGATATCCATCCTCGGTCAAGCTAGATCATATAGGAGAAGGTTTGGGTTCGTACCGTTCGGGCTCGGTCTGCTCGAAGGCCATGCGCTTGTTGTTGTCCCGAATCAAACGGGTGTTGACGAATCCAGAGAGGTCCAGCTTCTTGGGCCGGAAAAGGCCTGCCATTTTGGTCATTTTGGCGTGTTTAATTGGGGGGTATTGCGGAGTTGAGGTCGGAAAATGACTGAGCTTCGGCCAGGCGGAGTTGGCGAAAACTGGATGCCCGATCGGGTTTAGCGTGCTTTGATGCAAGATTTCACGCTGAGCGGCATCAAAGGCCTATGTTACTGCTAGTATTTTGATGGATAGCTGTTACAATTAAAATGAAACAACACATCGAAAATAAGGGGTAATTTTAACTGATTGCACGGTCGGAAAGGAAGTAGAAAGCTAGCCCTACGTGACATAGCGTGGCATGGAGCAGATGTGAAGTATAGAGTCCACAAACCCTATAGCTTTACCCATAATACAACATACTTCGGAATATTCGGCTTAAGTTACTTTTCCTCTTCTGACCGATGGGATATTATCCAGCAGAAGGGACACTACAGAAGGAAAAAGCGACTTGCTCAGAATGGTACTGGTACAGCTTGTGAATTGACCCAAGTCACCCCCATCGAGGTGGGTATATGTAGTCTATATGCTTGGACAGGGGAAAACTGCCTGCATCGTAATCACAAAAAGTGCAAGCCGGCCATTGATGACCAGGGCCATCTCCGTCCACCCACACATCGCGACGGTTCGTCCCGCTCCTCTTCAACGAACAAATGGGATCTCAAAATGCATTCATTCTCGACCCCATTTAGTGGTCAGCCTTGCCAGCGGGCTTAGCGTTAGGGTTGCGGGGGTCGCTCTTGTACTGGGCGGCTGTACGGATTTGAAGGTTAGTTGTTTATGCTCGTAGACGGTCATCGGAGTGTCGTTTCGTGGATATTGTCGCATGTGACCCAAAAAATAGTCGATGATTTATGTGTAGCTGCGCGGAGTGGACTCACTGTTGGACAGAGCGTTCTGGAGAGAGTTGACGCCGTAGAGCACAATGAGGCCTGGAGAGGAGAATCGTTAGAGTAATGTTCCATTAACAACCGCTTCGAAGGTGCGGCATTCCGAATGACAATCCATGCGTTCTGGATTATCAGGGGATTTCGGGATCTAAAGGGTATGCGTACCGGCAGCGAAGAAGGGAGCCATAGGCTTGGCTGGAAGTGAACATATGCGTCAGTCATTGGTCCTCATATCGTTCTCCCACAAGTCGTAATCGAGGTGCACAAAACACGTACCCAGAGCGCCGGGGAACTTCTTTCCGAGGAGAGACATTGTGACAGGTGAATCGAATGCGGGGAGAATTCGGTATTCGGGAAGATGGTGAGGCAGGAGACGGAAGAGGAGAAGTGAGGTTTGGGAGGTTTGCCCGGTCCCGAGACCACGCCGCCTTAAAGGCGGTGTCATGCCGCTTTTATCGCCCGATCTATCCCGACCGTAAACAATCATCTCCAAATCAAGCTCCAAATCACACACTATGGCGTCTTCATTGTCTTCCTCAGTTACCTCGTTACAGTCCTCTCTCCAGATTTTGGACAACTCTATATCAATCCTCGATTCAGGCGTGAGCGATTACCCTCGTCTATGTAAAGTCCTCCAGACGACGCGAGTATGTTCTTCCAAAGTTTCATTCCTAAACGAATTGAGAAGCTATGAATCTAACCATTTATCTTTGAATAGCACTTTGAGCTCCTCCCTGAGCCTACATTGCGCGAAGCGCAGCAGTCTCTCCTTGACGAAATCACCCCCAGCATCGCCCACCTCCTCACACTATCATCGAATCACGTTGAAAAGCTCGCGCGCCGCGAACAAGGCCTCAAGGCGAAATGCGACCTGCAAGAAGGTCGACTATCGTCCACTCCGGAGAGCCGGTCATCAGCTACTCTCAGCCAACCTCAGAGCAGCTCACTGCGGGGTCGCATGGCGGGGCCAGGCCCTGGCTCGTCGGGTAATGCAGCAGCAGCCAAGGCAGCAGAGCTGAGGAGACTCGTGCAGAAGAAAGAGCGGCTCAAGTTTGCAGTTGATCGATTGGAATTGCAGAGTACGCAGAAGCAAAGACAATTGCGAAAGAGTATGGCTGCGCAGTGAATGTGGCGGTGTCACTTTGCGAGATATGAATATCTGCTATTACGAAAAACGACTGGCCTGAGGAGAATTTGGCTCCAACGTGACCTTTGTCTGATTTCTATCCACGTCGTTCTCGACTGTGTGCTTCGCCAACTCTGGCTAGAAAAACACCAAGTCGAAGCCACCGACGGTCTTTCCCAGAACACCAATGCCTCTCACGCCCGGTGCATTCTAAAAAGCCCCGAGTTCATTGCAGGGCTCCAATGAGGAAATGCCTCCAATGAATATCGGCGCTTCTCGGGCCTGGTACAGTCCCCACAGGTCGTGACAAGACCATGCTTCATCACAACCGACTTAGCGGGATCCCCAACGGCCTCCACCAAGACCATCTCATTGGAGAAAGGATGGATGAACTCGAGCCAAAAATGACCCCTTGGATACTGTATCAATCAATTGAATACATATCAAACATTGATTAGAGTGAAGATGCTATATTTACATCTGTAGAAGTGCGAGAATAATATCCTAGTGTACAAGATCCAGTCCCCAGTCCCAATGCCAAATGCTGCCAGTAGTAGTATAGTACATGTTTTCGATCCAAATTCACAAAAGTACTGCGCCAAATCAAACCCACTTATTCGTCGGCAGAACGCTTGTTGGAAGCCTGGCGAACCTTCTTTTTATCATTATGCTTCTTCCAACTGGGAATATGTTGGCCCCTCTTCTTGACAGGGACATCAGGAACATCCGAGTCATGAACATCATACTCTTCATCCTCCTCTTCTCCCTCATTCTCAAACTCCCCCTCTTCCTCGGAAGCCTTGGCCGCCGCACGGCGAGCCAAACGCTCCTTCTTACCCTCACCGTGCTTCTCGCCAAGGTTCAGGTTGCGCGGGACGCGAGTCTTGGCTCCCAGAGCCCACAAATCGCCCCAATGAGACTTGCGGGCGTCGCGGTAGGCTTGGCGACTGTAGGAGCGCGGGACGGTCCAGCGCTCGATTTTGCCGGCAGGCGTGCAGAGATCGAAGATTACATGACCACGGCGTTTCATGGGTGGGTAGATGGCGCGGGGGAGGGATAGAGTGTGGAAGGCTGGTTTGTTGGGGATATCAGACTCCTCGGGGTCCTCGAATCCTTCGAACGCGGCATCTGTAGTCTCGGCATCTTGACGAATTGCTTGGTCTTGTCGGAGGTCTACGCCACGCTGCACGGCGAGGTAGCTGAATTTGAGATCTTCGTGGTTGCGGTCTTTCGCTCCCATGATGCGCTGCAGGAATGGAGGGCGAATGTATCGCTGCTCGAAATGGCAGAAGTCCCTACGGCCCTTGGTAGCACCTGAGGAATTGTGCATCGGGCAGGTTGAGTGGTTGGTGCAGGGGGCAACGATCATTCCACGCTCCTTCTCAATGACCTCGCGTTGGTCGGGGTCTTCGAGGAAGTTGTCGTATTCGGTAGAGCCGGGGCTTGCGATATGGCGCTTCAAAAGCATTTCACGAGCACCTGAGATAGCCTCGAAGCCCTTCTGGCGGCCCTTCTCGAGCAGAATGAGAATACCCCCGTCGGGGTTCAACAGAGACCACAGGTTCTCTACGTGTTGTTTACGTTCATATTCTTCTTCAAGACCGAGAAGAGAGTGGGGTGCGATGATGATGTCGTACTGCTTGCGTTTGGGGGCTTTCCGCGAGTCATCAATTGTAGGCTTCTCGCGCACATGGACGTAATCAGGTAGCCGTGGGAGGAAGGTAGTGTTGTCCAGCATGACAGCAGCGCGTCGCCGAAGGGCATCAGAGCCTGTCAGTACAGTTGATCTTCCAAAGGGGATGGGTGCTCCCGAGGGGTGATCGGGCACCATGAGCTCCCATTCTGCGCGGATGATATCTCTCCAGGCCAGAATGCCGGCACCACCACCGCTGGCATCAAGAACGTTTGGCCCACCATCCTGTGCGATGAGACGGCGGATCCAATCGACGCCTAATCGCTTGCGAATCTCAACCATAACACTGAGTGTAGATGCGTAGATTCCAGGGTACAAGGCTGCCAGGTATGCGTTGGCCTCCATTTCTCCCATTTGACGCTGCGACGCATTCAGAGCGACAGGAAGTTGCGGTAATTGGGCACGCGGAGGCGCAGTTGTACTAGAATGTGGCAATCCCGGTCCTCCAAACAGGCGCCGAGCAGTCTCAGAGATGTGCTTGTTGGAGAATTCTGACAGAATGACCGATATGGGACCAGTGACAGTATCCTTGGGCAGATGGATAGTTGTAGGCTCAGTTCCGAATTTGCCCTCGAGGGTGAGGGGGTGCATTCTAGGAGCAGAGTCAGGGACTGCCTCATTCTCGAATTCCTCGAGCATGATCTCGCCGCCCAACTGCTCTGCCACTTCTCTAGTCCGTTGCATGGCAATTGTTTCCTGCTCTTCGGGGGAAATATCCATATCATACACGACTGGAACGTCCTCGGCGGCGCTTTCTTCTAGATCGACCTCCTCCCATCCTCCTTGTCCATCTTCGCGGAGCAAGCTCATATCTTCCTCTTCCTCCTCGGCCATTAACTCGACTTCCTGCCGAATAATTGGTTCTCCATAGAGGCGGGCATATATTTGAAGCTCGGCGTCATCTAACAAGCCCTCTGGCATCTCATCTCCAAAGCGCTGTTTGATCAAGTGTACCCATGACTCTGCGGTATGTTCGTCGCGCTGGTTGATCAGGTCGATGAGCTCGTCTCCTTCGCCCTCCTCGCCCATAATTTCCAGCTCTCCAAGTATTTGTGCCATTTCCGCTTCATTTTCGCCGATTCGATCGATCAGGGTATTGATATCAACCGGTTCGATGGATTGGCTGGGTTGAGGCGGCGAGTCGGAAGACGCTGGGCCTGACACAAACCTCCGCTGAGGCTGACATTGTGATACCGCATAGTCGGAAGTATTTCTTCGGTGCGCAAGACCGTTGGACGCGACCAAAGGCGACGCTTTTTGGACAAGAGTGCGTTGCTGTGTAGGTGTCAAACGATTAACAGGTCCGCGGAGCTGTCGCGATCCAGGAGGGCGGGCAAAGGTGCGAAATAGGTCGCGCGATTGTGACCGACCGGCGCCTGATGCTGAAGACCTGGATAACATTTTCCAGCTCTTGTCAACAATCCCTTTTCAAGAGGTTGAGGGAGAAAGAAAAATGGCCAAGCCCAGAAAATTGATGCCAAGACGGCCATGCGGCCATCACAAACTGCGGGCCTCTCATTGGCTCGCCCCTTTGGACCCGGTTTTAAATCTATGTTGTATAACATCCATGGATCTTTTTGGTCGGCAGTAATATTATATATTGTACATTATATGCTGATTTATTGGTATATTATACAAAATTCACCCGATTGACAAAGCTCTAGACCTAGGCTCATGATGGCTGAATACATATATCTAATAACCACCTATTCAACCTTGGAATACTTTTAAAGGCCTTGCCTTAAGTACCGAATCATATCAGGGATTACAACAAGGAGCTGTTCATAATTCAAATTCAGTAGGGTATCAATTAAATAACTAAGCCTCGCTCTCCGTATCTTCATCACCCATGACAATCCGCAGCGCAGCAACGCACCGCATCACCTCGTGCTCAAGGGCTGATAGTTTCGCCATGACCGCCATCAGACTAGGATCCTGACTCTCTACCCGGACCTTCTCTTTGACACGGACTTCTTCACCCTGCCATTGAAAAAGGCTACCGGCCTCATCATGGGTTGGCGCTCGCGACCCGAATATCCGATCACGTAGAGAGAACCCAGTCAGGGAGATATCCGAGGAAAAGGCAGTTGGCGTGTGGTTGGGGGCAGTAGCCTCTAGAGTCCGAAGAATAAGGACCAGGGCAGAGTCTGTGATAGAGAGATGGAATGAAAGATGCGGCGGAAGCGGAGGGTCAAACATCTGTGCATACATATTAGTTAAATATTGCAGAACTTTTGTCACGGACAGTCAACATACATTTTCAGTGGCACTGGTATCCCACCACTTGCCTCGCGTCTCATCGCTGTCTCCTTTCAACATTTGTCGCGCCTCGCTGATCGTCTCGAGCAAGAGGTGTAGCTGACTGAAAATGAAGCCTGCATTGAGAGGATCGCCTGTCCACGTGCTCACATCCACAATATCCAGGCTTTGAGCCACAAGGTCTCGAACCGATACTAGCTGTCGAAGTACTAGTTCTGGGGCTTCGGGGGACTGGGATAGGTTCAATCGGGTGCTGGGGGCACCTCGAGGAGGCGGTAGCGATGCCAGACGAAGTTGAACATCCTAGAGAGAAATCGGTTTAGTCGCATATTCATTCTTCGGACAAGACTCGGTATACATACACCCTTCACGACCTTAGTGCCGACTCTAGTCACAAACCCCTTCACGCTTTCCGACCGCAGCGAGGATAGCACCAAGGTTGACCCCGGTTCTTGGGGAGCTAGGAGGTTGGCGCATTCTTGGAGACCTTCCTTCAATGAGGCAAGTGAATCCTGTAGTGAATGCAAGAGCCATTCTAACTCTCGGGCCTAAGATAAAGATGTTGGCATTATACTAGAGAAGCTCCACACTCCGATCATAGCTACAGTCAACCAAGCCTCCACTTAGAGAGCGCCTGTTGTAAGGGTCAATATATGTTTTTACATACCAACGCAGTGTCCGCCTCATGGTTGATCTGCTCTGTGGGCAGTGGGGGGTATGCCCAGGTCGCCATTACAACGTCGTAGGGGGCAGTGTGTACCAGTCTCGGGTAGACAAAGTTAAGGACAAAACTGGATTCAGGCAGAAACGTTAATATTAGTCCACGTCACTTCTTTCCACAGGGGCCCGATGTTTGTGAGAGAGCTGTAACGTCGTTTCCTTAGACGCGCTTGACTTCGTCATGGACCACATAGACTAACCCAAAATGGTATAGCGTTAAAAAGTAGAGTGTACGCTAACTATGAACAGCTAGCCTATCAGGTGCAAGTATGACGTTATGATCGTCAATACTTTCAATGGTGTAGAAAACCTTGAAAAGAGAAGAGGATGATACTCGTCATTATAGGGCAGTGGTCCCCGGATACCCCGGCTGTTCCTACAGCCTTATACCAGCTAGTCTTTTCCACTTCAAATTCTGTCATCTTTTCTTTTGTTTCTCGACACTCTTCTTGAGCTCATTCCCTTTGGAGATACGAGACAACCTCGAAAAAGACAAAAGCCCCTCAATCAAAAGTTTTTAAGTGTGGCATACGATAATAACCAAAGATGGGTTTCAGCAGTAAGTCAATTCCTGATCAACAGCTCTATAATACCTTCATCTGACCATCTATAGGAGCAACATTGGGCTTTACAGGCCTGTTTTTCATGGCAGGGTCGATCTTGTTGATCTTCCTCACTCTATTAGGAGGTGTAACCAACACCACACCACTGAACCGAATCTACTTCCTCCAGGCGGACACGGGGAATATCCCAGGTGCACCGGCGACCTCGCGTTGGACATTCTGGAACCTCTGTGATGTGAAGGACGGCAAGAATCATTGCGGAGATACCCATGTCAATTTCCCATTCGACCCCCCAAGCCACCGTAACTTCGACACCACCCAAAATGTCCCTCATGAGTTTATCGGGTAGGTTGCCAAGTGATATATCCTAATTCATCGGACCGTGCTAACCATACAATGTAGAACGAATCACTACTTCTTGACCTCGCGGTTCATGTTCCCCTTCATCATTATTGGTCTGTTCTTTGCCGTGTGCTCGTTCTTCACCGGTATGCTGGCCATCTGCACCCGCGTGGCCAGCTACCTCTCCGGTTTCCTGGCCTGGGTCGGTCTGACTTTCCAGATCATCACGACCTGTCTCATGACGTATGTACCACTGCCATTAGCACTGGGATTGGAAACAAATTGCTAACTATATTTCATAGTGCTGTCTTTGTCCAGGGCCGCCAAGCATTCAAGCATAATGGCCAGGGCGCACACCTGGGTGTCAAGGCATTCGCCTTCATGTGGACCGCATCTGTCTGCCAGTTCCTTGCCTGCTTGCTATACTGTCTCGGTGGTGCCGTCGGCCGGAAAGATACTAGCAGTGGATACAGTGGACGCTCGGAGCGCCGCCGTGGTTTCTTCTCCTCGCAGCGCTCAAACAGCGTGAAAAGCCAGAAGAAGGAGGCCACGAACTACGCTTAAATGGATGACCCCTATCCATGAGAAGCCCGCTTCCTCATCTCGACAAGAACAAGCCGGGGCACCAGAAAATGTCGACTTGAACCTGTCGATCTCCGGACCATGCTCCACACGCCTTTGTCTTCCTGCGTTGATATCCCCTTTGAGAGTTTATTCTTTCTTCGGGAGGCCGTTTGTTTTGCTTTGATCTCGTCAACTGCACCTGAATGACCCAGATGTAGCCTGAAAGGTTTAACTACCCACACTCACTTGATGTTGTTACGAATCCCTTACGATCTTTACTCGCCTAATACGTCTACGGCCTTCCTGCATAAGGTGGCAATTGAGCATTCTTCGCGCAATACTCTCCCTGTCTTGGAGTCCGGTTATGTTTCAAGGCACGCGAGTCTTTGATGATTTGTTGATGAATCCCATGGTTCAACGATTCTCCGATTTGAAGATTATGCAGGAATTTGTGCTTTCGGTTGCGAACCTATCTAATCTAGTTGTAATATAATTTCTACCGTTACTTTATCCCCGGAATGTAAATTGTAAACAGTCATATATCTTAGATTCTCGATGAGTAGTCCTGGGAAAGCGAAAGGATGTCGGGAAATGACCGAAGCCTAGCAGAGTGAAGTGAGCTGAAAAAGAGAACCAGTATTGATTGATTGCATCCAACTGAGTCTATTTAAGAACTATAAAGGGAAAGACTCCATGACGATAACTGCAGTACAAATCGTGGACAAAAAGAAAAATCACAGCCTCTATCAGTCGTGCATGCATCATCACACCATAAACGAAATCCAGGTCTTTTATTTTTATTTCACGGAGGAAAAAACCTAAGCGGAGCCGTTGACGGCACCACGGACAGCGTTCTGGGAGCCGACCTCACGGACGGCGATCTGCAGACCGAGATCGGGGTTGACGTGGACCATGACCTCGATCTTGCTGCCAGCCTTGACGCCCTTGACGGCGAGCTCAGCAACGGGCTTCTCGGTCTTCCAGACAATCTCGCGGGTCTCCTCTTCCTCCTCATCCTCAGAATCGAAGTCAGAGTCATCCTCATCCTGGGCGGGCTTGTCCTCCTTAGCCTTGGGCTCGGGCTTGGTGACCTTGATCTCACGGGCACCCTCGCACACGCGGACCAGGACATCACCACCCTCCTTGGGGGCGAAGTACTGAGCGATGCGGCGGGCGGGGAGGGCGGTCTCAGCGCTGAGGAGGGGCTGGAAGGTAGTCTCGGTCTCGGAGGTGAACTCAACACCAATGGCCTTGGTCAGGTGAGGAGTGACGGTGACCATAGGGTGGATAGACTGCTCAATGTCCTCGTGGTCGAACTCCTGGACCAGGGAAGCCTGGAAGGCGGCACCACGGGCAGACAGCTCGGAGGGGTTGATGGCAGTGACAGAGGTGGCGGGAGCCAGAATCTTGGTCTTCTCGGGGAAGATGTTGCTGGCCAGGCTGGCGAGCTTGGGGGTGTGGGAAACACCGCCAGAGAAGATAACCTCGTCGATATCAAGGACATCGAGCTCGGCCTTCTGAACAACCTGCTGGATCAGAGCAGTGAACTGGCTGAAAACCTTATTGGCGAGAAGCTCGAAACGGGTGCGGTTAACGGTGGAACCGTAGTCAACACCGTCGACCAGGGACTCAATGCTCAGCTGAGCGTTGCTGCTCAGGCTGAGGGCCTTGCGGGTAGCCTCACACTCGAGCTTCAGCTTGGCCAGACCACGAGCGTTCTCGCGGGGGTCGGTCTTATGCTTCTTCATGAACTCCTTGGCGAAGTGGTCAATGAGGATCTTATCAAGGGAGGCACCGCCGAGCTCGTAGTCGTGGGCAGTGGCCAAGATAGTGTACATGCCACCGCGGCAGGCAACAACGGCAACATCGGAGCGGGTGCCACCGAAGTCAGCAACGACAACCAACTTGTCGGTAACAGTCGCCTCGGGGCGGGCATCGTAAGCCATAGCAGCGGCAACGGGCTCGTGGATCAGCTGGAGAACGTCGAGACCAGCAGCCTTGGCGGAGGCAATGAGGGCCTCACGCTGGGCATCGGTGAAGTTGGTGGGGATGGTGATAACGGCGGCGTTGACATCCTTACCAAGGTAGTCAGAGGCGGAGCTTCTCAGACGCTTGAAGTGACGGGTGGTGATCTCGGAAACGGTGACGGTGTTGGGGGTCTCGCTCTCGGTGTCGCGGATGGTGAAAGCGACAGTCGAGTCCTGCTGCTGGGGGTGGGCAGACTGGTGGCAGGGAGTAGGGTCGATCGACTTGAATTCCTTGCCGATGAAGTCGCGGAAGTATGCGACAGTGTTGGCCGAGTTGCGAACGAGCTGGGCCTTGGCTTGTGCGCCGTGGTACTCCTCGCCGTCGATGTAAGAAAGGATGGAAGGAATTTGGCGATCTAAGTATGTTAACTCGAGTTCTCAAATCGTGGGGCTTCATTGGTCTCACCTCCTTCCTCGTTGGCAATAACCTCAGCTTTGCCATCCTATGAACTTGTCAGTCACCATTCTTTAGCCCGAAAAATGAATATAGGACGTACAGGCGAGATGTGGGCAATTGAACTGCACGAGTTACCAAACGAGATACCGATAGCAAAGCGCTCCGCCTCGGCGGGGGCACTGTTGGCAGCGTCACCCATGTCGAAGTTGTAGATATGTACTTTTTTTGGATTAAAAGAATAAAGATCTCACGTCACGGCGTGAAAGTAGATTCGAGGGTATCCGATATAATGGGTGGAAATCTCGATTGAGGGGGAACGATCGAAAAAGATTTTTGAAGATTTTCGTCTGCCGCAAATGTGGCTAGTGCTTATCGATAGCGGCTGTGGCGATTTCGAACAGGGCACCGCCACGCTTCACATCTTCATACACGCACAGTTTTCCATGATGGATATGGCTCTAACATTAAAATAAAACTGCTAGGCACAGCTTACAATATTTTAGTAACGGTTTAAAAAACATAATTTATTCATTGTCCCCAGTCAAGTACTGGAATGGAGCTTGGTCAGTGTACATACAACTAGGTCACGTGCTGATAAGAAATGTCGTTTTCTTTCGCAGACTCTGGAATCAATGCGCAAAAGCAGACAATTTATCTGCAAGAAACAAATCCAGCAATACAGAATTAGACCTGTTCCCTCAAAGACTTTTATCCCCAGGCTATTCTAAAAGTACAGTCTATCCATTCTGGCATCATGAGTGCCCCGCTTGTCCTATTACCTAGCGACGAGGTACCTCCAGACCATCTTCCTACCAACAGCTCCAACCCTCTACGACTAGGCCCCGGCCTCCGCATCCTATCACAGCCCTCTTCAAAGGGAACCAAACATGTCTTAACAGCAACACAAGCTGGTCTGTTGACGACCGATGCCAAACGAAACACCGTCTCGCTTCTTTCTTTCCCGAACCGCCGATACATTCCCACCGTCAACGACTTCGTCATTGCTCAGATCCACCATTCCAGCGTTGATTTCTTTCACTGCATGGTAACTCCACACACAGCACACGCGCTTCTGGGTCAGTTGTCCTTTGAGGGCGCATCCAAGAAGACAAGGCCAATGTTGAAGCAAGGCGAGCTGGTGTATGCGCGAGTACAGTCCGTGGGACTCGGCGCCGGCGCCGAAGTTGAACTCACCTGTGTCAACCCAGCAACTGGCAAGGCTGATGGAGGATTGGGACCCTTGGCGGGTGGAATGGTATTTGATGTTTCGACTGGTATGGCGGCTCGCTTGATTCGGGCAAGCTCTTCTTCTGCCGAGAATACGGATGCAATTGAAGGATTGGTTGTTCTTTCTGAGCTTGGAAAGAAGTTGGAGAGCTTGGGAGGGTTTGAGATTGCTGTTGGCCGCAATGGAAAGGTGTGGGTGGACTGCTCCAACGCCGCAGAAAGTGCTGTCAAGGTCACTATCGCAATTGGACGCTGTCTACAGGAGACAGATCAGCAAAATCTTCACACTCATGACCAAAAGAAACTAGTGACGAAAATCCTAAGGGATATGAAGCTTGTTTCGTGACTGTGTCCTTAGACCTGGAGTATGGGTTTTATGACTTGCAGTTGATTTTTATGTTCTTTATGCCAGCATGTACACTATTAATGCAATCATGAGCATGATACCTGCCAGCACTGTGTCTAGTAAAGGCTAAATATCTGAAGACATCTCTTATGCAGTAATGTATGGGAGGCGTCATGCATGAGTCCCTTTGTAGCTTGTACAATGGCCATTGTATGGAAGTCTTCAATAATTTTGAGTTGCATCTTTAGAATAGAGTACCTTGGTGCCTTGGATATCATTTTTAAGTTCTTCTAGATCTTATTATTTCTATTGTACTCCATCTCCTACAATGATATAGATCTACAATAGCTACAATAGCCAGAGATACTCGATTGGCCCCGCATGGGCGGTCAGTACCAGCGGTGAACCCCAATTGCCGGGTTGCACGCTTCGCGGGCCGTAAATTTTGAGGGCCTCGGTCTCTCCTTTTCGTCGCATCGTCTACTCTTCCCCTCCATACTCATTGTCGAAACTTATTGCCATGGGAAATACATCGTCTCAGCCTGAACCATACCCCGAAATTCCTGAGGATTTTGGAGATACCAGTAGGTGAAACCACTTGATCTTCGCGCGAGCTGAAACTAACATTTGTAATCTGGCAGTTCCTGAAACTCCGAACTCTTCCAAGGTTGCGACGAAGAAAAAGAAAAGCAAACATTTCCCCTTAACATCCAAGCCTTCATCACCAGCAATTGCGGAAGCCAATGGTCCAAGCCGCTCCACAGAATTAGACTCCAATATGTCCAATCCTTCCAAGCGAAAGCGCGAGTCTGAACCTGAGCGCAAGCAAAAGTCCAAGAAGCATCGCAAATCAGAAAAGTCCGTTTCCGAGTCAGCTTCACCAGAGAACAACCCACCCCCCTCTGCAATTGCTGTTCAAAATCCCCCCACTCCCAGCCAACCCTCTCCATCAAAGCCCAAGGCGAAGAAGGCTCACAAGCAGATTGGTGAAGACTTGAAAGCCGTAACTACGTCCATTTCTCAGCCTACCTCCGACTTACCGCTTGCAGAAGAACCGCCTGCTGTAAAGCAGCTGGCTGTCACCAAGCAAACTCCAGCCCCTGACTCACCCAATCCAGAGGGTAGCACCACGCCAGGAGGCAGGGCCAAGGGGGTTAGAGGCTCACGCACCAGGGAGAAGGACAATTTGAGAATTGGCTTCTATACGCCCGATGAAGTGCGAAAAATCGAAGCATACAAACTCAATTTTTGCACTGTGCATGGTATTCCTAGCGCCAAATTCGACGAGATGGTCCAGCATTCTGAGCGTGGCGCAAGCGGCGAATTCCCAGTCTCTGCGGATGTCATCTCAAAAGGCGACTTTTGGGACGAGATCTACGCTCTTGTGCCAGACCGAGATCGACGATCTGTGTACCGATTCATGCGCAGACACTTCCAGGCTTCGGCTCAAAAGGCGCATGATTGGTCTAAGGAACAAGACGATGAGCTTATCGAGCTCCACGCCAAGCACGGTCCGAAATGGACTTATATTGGTAAGCTCATTGGGCGCAGTGATGACGATGTCACTCAGCGCTGGAAGAACAAGCTTGAGCACCAGGGCACCATGAACCAAGGCGCCTGGTCAGAGGAGGAAACCAGGATTTTCCTTAACGCCGTGGAATCAACGTGGAACACCATGAAGCCAATGCTTGCGGAAAAGGCAGGCAAGGATATGTACGAGCTTGATGAACGCCTCATTGTATGGGGTAACATCAGCAAGGAGATGGGACATACACGGTCTCGACAACAATGCGCAGACAAGTGGCGCAAGATTGTGAGGCAGGTCATGACCATGCGGGCCAATGGCCAGCCAGGCGCTGTGTTTGATCCCAAAATTGCTGCTAAGAAAAGTGCCCACTGGAATTTGAGACTGGAGGCGCAAAGGAAGAGCTCCCAATTTGTGAATGAGGATTCTGATGACGATGAAGCCACGAAAACCACCAACGCGAACCTAAAGCCCAAGGGTGAGACAGTTCCATCACCCATCACCGATGAGAATGTCGAGTCCAACCACGAAGTGCAGTCTGAGGAGGGTGAGCCTGACTTGCCCGAGCCTCCCAAAAAGGCTAAGAAGTCCAAGCACAAGCACAACGAGGAGCCCTCCTCCTCTCCCATCAAGGAAGCCCCGTCATCTTCCGTCGCTCCTAAAAAGAGCAAGGAGGAAAGGAAGCGTGAAAAGAAGGAGCGGCGAGAGAAGGAGAGACAAGAGAAGGAAAAGCAAGAAGCCCAGGAGGACAAGGCCGCACGCAAGGAGCGCAAGCGACAGAAGAAAGAGGAGAAGAAGCGACAGAGAGAGGAGGAGGAACTTGCTGCTGCCGAGGAGGCCAACGAGGCACCTAACAGCGATGCTGAGGCCTCTGAGCCCCCTAAGAAGAAGAAAAAGTCCAAGAGGCAGAAACAAGCCTCTATTGACAGTCCTGCTCCTTCGGCTGAACGCTCTCGTTCTGTTGTCGAAGAATCCCCATCGCCCGCATCACCTGCTTCCCACAGATCTGCCACTGAGTACGAAGCTGTCGTCGATGAAACTGACTCAGACGGCGGAGATGACAACAGCAGCGAAGTCAACGTTAAGTACGAGACTGACTCGGATGAGCTGTGAAACTGCATGAAATGAAGAGTTTACCTTTGCTGTTGCTTTCTGTGTTCCAAATATACCCTTGTTTACTAAGATTTCAATTCTTACGAGAGCGAGCAGTAGAAGAAAATGTCCATAAAAATACAAAGGCCATTCACTATTCAATCCAATGCAACAAGTGTAATCATAAATGTAATCGCTTTATCTAATGAAACCAACCGAGTCCACTATAACTCATCTTTGCGGTCCTCGCCAGTCTGCACAAAGTCAACCCCAGCAGCAGCCTGCTCACCAGCAACCCGACTCGCCAAAGCCGCAATCTCATCATCATAGACAGTCCACTCAGGAACCTGTCTCCGGGCCCTATCCAACTTAGGCTCCTTGGTAAGAGGATTATTACAAAGGTCAATAGTCTTGGCCACATCCAAATCTTCATCGGAACACCAAGTCTCACACCAAAGCCACTCCTGCGGCAGACTATGGATGGGAATGTGGTGCTGCATGTGGTTGGGCAGATCCTGGTCAAGATTGCTGAGACTGTTCGGATCCGCCGAGAGCATTTGATATTGGCCGCGCAGACGGTCGCCGGCAGCAAGCGCGCGGAAGCGGTTCAAGTCGACGACATACAGCGCCGAAATGTGGTAGGGCTTGCCGCGGAGGAAGGTGGACCAATAGCCCTGTTTCCAGAAGCGGAAGCCTTCCATTTCAGTTCGAGAGTCGCCCATCGGCGTGAAGCCGTAGGGCGCTTCTTGGAGGTCGTGGGTGACTAGCTCGTACATGTCTGTGCGCACGATCTGGTCCGCGTCGACGAAGATTACTTTGTCCAGGGAAAGGGGGAAGAGCACGTCCAGGAAGAGCATCTTGTACCCCCAGATCTCGCGTTGCTTTTCTTTCTGGCCGCGCAGCCAGTGCGGCCATTTGTATGTTACCATCTCGTAGGAGAAGCCGTATTCGCGGGCGAGGGAAGGGAGGAAGGCGCGGAAGGAAGGGGAGAGGAATTGCTCGATGAACCAGAATTTGACGGTGTGCTTGGTGTGTCGCATCACAGAGACCATCATTATGTTCAACATGCGCTCGTAGAGGTGTCCGCTTGCCACCGAGAAGATGTTGATATCGGCATGTTTTTCGCTTCCGCTCTTGGACCCGACACCAACACTGGAGAGGACGCCGGATGCAAAGTTGAGTCCTTTGGCGAGATAGTCCATCTTTGAGCCTGGTTGAACTCCTGTCTCGAGAACATCCTCCTCCTCGTGACCTGGCTTTCGAGACAGACGAGGGAACAGCGTCCGACCATGGAAGGACAGCAGAGCAACCTCGTTGTTCTCGTCACCGGTTTTCGGGCGGTATCCTAAACCGCCGACGCTATCAATATTGAAGATCTTCTCGCTGCGGCCGGGCTTCAAGTTTATCTGCCACAAACCTGGCTGTGCCTTGAATTGGAAGTATCCCAGATTAGCCATGATGATGGTATCCGCGAAATAATGCTTGTTCTCGGTCCCCAAGATAAGCTGGACACCTCTGGGGGCAGACTTCGTTGTAAGATCACGAGAGTGGCCTTCGATCAGAATATGCTCGAGAGCGTAGGTGGCGTCAACGTCAGTGCCAGGCTTGACCGAGCTCAGCTTAATGTTATCCAGATCGTAGACTGATTCGCTAGGTGCGACGAGCCAAGATGACGGCACGTCCATGCCCAGAGTCAGCAGTGCCTCGACTGGCACGCCAGTGAATGACGCTTGGGGCCGAGCTAGAGCGCCCTCGTCTGTGAAAGATGGCTCTGATTCCAAGACATAGCGGTAGAACCGCTTGACCGGCAGCTCCGTGAGCTCTTCCTTCGGGTTCAAGAAAATCTTCAGCTGAACGCCAGATAGTTCGGAGAGAACCTTAAGAATTGGCGACCATCGCTGAGCAACCTCAGACGCCGGGTCAAGGCTAACGGCAACGTGGATCGTGGGATCGTCAGAGTTAGAAACTGTGATCACAGAGAGCTCCGTCCTCCATGTACTGGACATGTCCACTCTGAAATCAGGAGTGTTTTCGAAGATACCCTCAGGGACATCCAAGATAGTGGAAAGAGCCACAAGCGAGGTCAATTTGGCAAAGTCGAGCGGGTTTGCGATCTTATCGGCGAATCCGAGTTGGTCAACAGCCGCCGCAACGGAATCGAGGCGTTTCATCCGTTCGTAGGCAATCAGTTGGCTCATCTCCTTCACACTTAACGAGTGTTCCTTCTCAATAGGGCCGACTGCCCTCCCATTGACAACGAGTCCCTCGGTGCCTGGGCTGAATCCAAGTTCTTTGGTCAGAGTTTGGTGCGAAGCTTGAATAGTAGAGATCTTTTGAGCTTCAGTCTCTAGGGCTTCACTATCAAGATCACCAGATGCAATCTTAGCCAGTACTTGGTCGATAGTTTCTCCCTTCGCAAGCGAGAGATAGAGAGTAACGAGATTATTGGGGACATCATCCTCGGCGTCCGATGCCGCATTGTGCAGCATCAGAATCTCCACGTCACCGTTCTCCTTTCGAAGATTGAGGGCATCGGTAAGTAGTTTCGTGCCAGTCTCTGACTCGAAATCACCCACAACTATCATGTGAGCACTTTCCAGAGCTCCCTTATCCGAGGGAATGTGAGGTATCTTGCTCAATACAGCTTCGTCCGATGCAAGGATGGTAGCAATGTCCACAATCTGTACACTCTTGGGATCCTCGGGCATGAGGAAAGTATTGCGTCTCTCCAATGCGCCAGCCAGGAAGAACTCCGGAAGCCATGCGTCCTCCTCGAAGATTCCCTCTACAATTGCTTGCTGGACCAATTTCAAGTCCTTGCCGATCTGCATACTCATCCCCTGCATCCAGTTGCCTTCTCGGGGAATAGGGATACCGTTCACCAGGAATTCAGGTCCGTCGCCGGTAAGACCCAACCGACGTTGGTAAGCAGCCGTCTGGGACACCAGAGCATTATACTTCTCGCCCTTCAATACTTGGTCAAGAGACAGAGCTTCGTGTTCGTCAACAAGGTCGTGTTGTTTAGTCGCAGACTGGAAGCATGATTTGTCTGGGAAGCCCACTTTGCCTTTCGAGGCAGACTCTTCCAAATATTGCACAAGAGACCCCATACCATAGGCATCGAAAAGGTAATGTACTACCTTCAGCTGCGCAATGGACTCTGGCGACGAGCTTGTAGGTACAAAGCCGAATCTCACAGGAATTCGTCGCATGACGAAGGATTGCAGGTTTCCAGCGACAATCATCATGTGCTCTGGGTTAGACAAGTCCATAGACACGACAACATTGTGCAAATCTCGGCTCACCGGGGGCAGCTGTCCCGGGTAGGAACCGGTGACATACTAGAATTATGTTAGTATGTATTTACTCCAATATCCATACAGAATAAGTACGAACCGCCTCAATATCACCAGGCCAGGACTCGTATCTAGCGTCCTTCTCCAGGTTGTTCATCCAAATAATAACCTGGTTTCCTTCTAGGTCATCCCGGAAGTCATACCGTTGCTCCTCGCCACCAGCTTGGGCTTCAGTGAGGAGTTTGTGTGACAGCAACTTCACGACATCATCCGCAGATAGACCTAGGCTGCGGAATTTTTCGATCAATTTCCTCTCTCGGCGTAGATGTTCTAGAAGTGAGAATGCGTCAATCTGCTGGGTGTCCATCTGCACACCGTTGATCCACATGGCATTATAACCACCAGGGAACATCCCTAACCGGTTGTGGCGGATCTCTTGCGCCATTTCGCCAGTGGAATTGTGGGAAGCTACTATCGATGAATACTTGGGGAAATTTTGGGACATCTTGATCAGTGTCCCCAAAGGATCAGCGCTGTCCATAACGTAGCTCGCAGAGTTCAAGCCTAGACGGATCACTTCGGAGGAAGCCAGAGGCTGGAGGTCATCTGGAGCATCTTCCTTGGTCTCATCCGGATCAGTTGGAAGACTTTTGGCGCCCTTTTCTTCGAGCTGTTCTGCATCACGGTCATCGATAACAATGTAGTCCGTTCGCTTCAAAGCAAGCTCCACGCCGTAACCAGACACAAACAAGGGACGAGAAATCCAGTGTTGGGGAGGTCGATAGCGTACGCGGTACGATATCTGTCCCTGTTTTGCCATTTCGCTTAGGGTTTCATGGAAATCCCTGAACATTGGAGAGGCGACGTCTGCGTAAAGAACAGCTGGAGGGAGTGAAGCATCACCCAGGACGCGGTCAAATGGTAGCTCTCTAGGATCCCTGAGGCACAAATTCAAGTCAGCTGTTAGAGTCCATATCCCACAGCCAAAGATCTACCCACAATTCTCCCTCGACGTCCTGTTGTGCGCGTTCCATCGAAGAAGAGCAATATTGCTTTCCTTCTGTGTGAACCCATACGGGACATACCGCATCTTGGGCCACCATCAACGACTCCTGAACCGAGGTGTTATAGAACTGGAAGTGTGCCTCAATACGAGGCGCCGATGATCGGACCGAAAGTGATAATTTGAACGAGGAAAGACTCTCCGGAGTCTGTATGTGACCTTCATCCTTCACGACTGTCAAGAAGCGGTCGTAGAGCTCCTTCTCAGTTGTGAGGTCCTCAAACGTCCCGTCGGCGATGCGATCCAACAAAGGGAAATAGGAGGTGGAGTTTTCTTCGGCAGCAGACTCCCTGCATTTAATTCATTAGCCCATTCTTGTATTGACAGATCTATTCCAGGCGATAGATTATTCAATGTGCAACGTACAGGAGCTCGACAAGGTATGGGGCCGAGTCAAAGGAGGCTTGGAGTGCCACGTTCACAGCTGGACTAGCACCGGCAATCCAGCCTGGTAGCAGAGCCCCAGCAGCGGCGTACCACCGCCAGGAAATGTGAGTTCCCGTAGAGACCCTCATTATCGCGCAATGCAGTGGGGGAGGGCAGTTTTGTTTATCTGTTGTATTGTATAGGGGATAGCCTCGTGGCGGGCAAGTCCTATGTAATGCGGTGTGGGCTTCTTAATTAACAAACATGCAAGTCAATCCATTTGCAATCATCACAGG